TTAACTTTGTGTAGTCCACAGGCGCAAATGTGTGCCTTCAATAGTCTTGTGCTTTGGGCTCAAGTGTGGTCCAGTCTTCTAGAAATCATCTGTACATGTGATGGAGGCATGCACAGTGCCTGTAGGGGGTGTGGTCTCAATAGACATGCAGTAAGCAGTGTGCTGTGTGTGCATGGGATTGAGGAATGACATGGATATTCAAGTGTACTTGGATGGCATCTGTTTGTTGTTGTCAAGATTATACTAAAATATATTTTCCCCAACTATATTTAAGTTCCCTATGAAGAGCCAACCTTCAGTTTTGAAAATTCCCAGTTTCTTCCCGTTTATTCCCATAAATTACCATTAGTTCCCATCAATTCCCGTTACTTCCCATGGGAAGTTTCCAACTTTGAAAATTCCTGGAATTTTGCAACCCTAGTCAGACCATTTGTTTTAGGCTTCTTGTTTTTCTTGTCACTGGAGGTAGAGCTTTGTGAGTTGCTGCATGTTCAAGGTCAAGAGGGATCAAAATTGAAACATGCCAAGCAAGTAAAAAGATAATTGATTTTAGAGAACATAACAAATTTGAATACATTTAAGAGTCATGTTCATAGGTTTGGACTACATTTTCTTCCAACACCTAAACCAGACTATCATACCTTCTGCCTATACTACTATATTTAAATGTAAATAAATACTGACCTATACTCTGTTAATTTCTTCGTCCTTTTTCTCCTCAAGGTTTCCAAACAATGTCCTCTTCACCAGTGCTTCTGGGGAGCTTTGGAAAATGGTTCGAATCGGAGGACAGCCTTTAGGATTTGGTGAGTTTCATTTGGGAAAAAGTCTAGTTACAGTTGTTGTGATTAGTACTAGGCCATAGTAAAATTTGCTGTTACAGTATCAGAGATTAGCCCATCTCTAACAGCAGAATGCTTTAGTATCAGGATAATGAATGTGTTATAATGGGTATTGTAGTACAGATTCTGCATGCTAGTCTCACTAAATGAGCATGATGTCTTCATCTCTGACTCTGCAGCTTTCTTATTGAACAAACTGACATATTGGAGCAATAACTATCACAAATCAGCATGACATGGGGCCTATTACACAAGCTTTTTTGACCACTGGTAGGTACCCATTTTTTGATTTCACCACGGGCCGTTAGTTGCAGCAGCAAACAAACATTTCATTTTGTGTCAGTCAGCAGCCTGATAATCTAACCTTCATGTGGAGGATTGTCACTGGTGATGAGAGGTGAGTCTGCAGCTCCATCCAGAATGATAACAACAGTTTTCACTGTGGAAGAGCTCAGGAGCCCACCAGAAGCAAGCTGGTGGTTTTCTTCGACATTCACGTCGTTGTGCACAATGAATTCTTCTACTGGGATCAAATGTAGAGTTCTAGTGTAACATCTTGAACTGCCTGAGGAAGAACATTCAGCAAAAACAACCTTAACTATGGTGTGATGGCATGTAGGTGCCCCAACGTTGCACAGTAATTACACATGTATTTCTTGGGTGCAACAACACAATCATTGCTCTCCACCCACCCTACTCAACAGATCTGGCTCCCTGTGACCGCTTCCTCTTTCCCAAAATGAAATTCAAGTGGAAGGGTTCATTTTTTGGAGAATGTTCAGCTCTCATCCCAGATGGTGATTGACATGCTTACAGAACAGGACTTTCAGGGAGCGTTCCAAGTGTGATAGCAGTGCGAGGAACACTGTTTACTGTGCAAGGTACTGTTTTTGATTGTTATAGGCACAGTCTCAAATGGAAACTAGCTACCTTACAAGTAGAGGAGTCAAGATAGATCAGTAGTTATGCAGTTAAATGTGGTGGAAGACAGACATAGTTGGAAACTGACTAGCAGGATAGCAGCAGTCCACTAAGCATTCAGATCTACAGCTTCCCAACACTACACTTGGATTCATCTTTGAAACGGTAGTTATGCTCACTATAGTGAAGCAGTATCCCATCTTGACTGCTGCTTGTATTATTTTTTCTTTCAAGCATTTTACAAGGTGTGATCAAAAAGTTCAGCCTGCATCTATAAAAAGCAAAACCTGATTTACATTTGCCCACTACCACATTCAAAGTGGTACCTTGCACACTTGTACACTGCTCCTGGTGTTCCGGCCACATTTGAAATGGTCTCTGGACATCCCGTTTTGTAAGTGCACCGTACACGAGCCGAGTGTTCACCATTGTGTCAAAATGGCAGCGCTTTGCTTGAATTTTCATTAGGGGCAGAGTTAAGAGGTCACAGGGACCCCAATCTGTTGAGTAGGGCGGGTTGGGGCCATTGATAGTGTTTGTGTGGCCAGAAAACCCTTTTCAACACACCGTGAGCAGGCACGTTGTCATCATGGAGCACTGGCATGCCATCACACCACAGTTGAGGTTGTTTGTGCCAGATGTTCTCCCTCAGTGGCATCAGGACGTTATGGCATACTTCAGGGTTGACTATCTGCTCCTGGGGGACGATTCAATGGTGCAAAACCACGTAAATGTTGATGAAAATGATGAGTATTGCTCCTAGCGCTCTCCTGAGCTGATGGTCCTTCTTCGGTCATCACCAGTAATGATCCTTGACATGAAGCTTTGGTCCTCCTGCCCCTGTTGACGGAGATCCTCATAGGTCCATGGTGAAATCCCAAATGAGCACCTGCAAATAGTCACAGAAACGCACCCGTAATGAAGATCCTGATGTTGTTCATGCGACATTACACAGAGTCTTGACTCATGAGAGTTACCATCTGTTGCTTATGACTGTGCCACTCTCTGTTCATGTACAAAAGTAACAGAAACATTTAATTGCAGGTCATACTTTTCACATCAAAGTTTGATCTCTTTGAATTTTGCACAAAGCAGAAGACGTCATGTCAGTTTGAGACCAGCAGCGAATGTGTCTCACCTTGTTCCTCAGAGAATAAACAGAAAACGAAGATCAACCAAACTAATCCACAATTAAAGTAAAATTCCTCAACTCTAATAAACCACTAATCCATGTCTCAAACATCTTCAATTCCAGGATCAGTGACTCGCATTAAAAAAAACTGTGCTGCCTCGCTACACTCTTAGGTCCTTGTGTGCAAGCTGATAACCAAGTCGGTGATGTATCATAAATTACAGCACAGGAATTTAGGAATCTGTGTTGTTTTTGTCTCGTGGTTTGCAGATGAGTGTGGCATCGTGGCTCAAATATCAGAACCCCTGGCAACAGCTGACATTCCAGCTTACTACATTAGTACTTTCAAGTTTGACCACGCCCTGGTAAGAAATGCAATGCTTTTTATTTGTATTTTATCTAGTATATGCTATAAATCTGCAGCGAACAAACCATTTTTGTAACAGAATATTCATTTTTATAAGGAGTAATGCCTCATATGTGATCATTCTACATTCAGAAATGTGATTATTTGCTGCTTTTCTTAGTAAATTTAATATTTTGGGATATTGGCCAGTAGAGATGTAACAGTAAACTAAATGTAAAGTTCGGTGCCTACATCAGTTTTAGAATCACAGTTCTTTCCTTTTTGGTATTGCAGAGAAAAATAACAATAAAGTAGTAGTTAAAGCACTCAAATGTTGCATACGGTCAATAGGAAAAGATTCTGAGCTGTTTACTCTCAAACATAAAATGGAAAAAAGCAAGAAGTGTAGGTCAGTGCCTCCACAACAGTAGCAGACCTCATTACAGCCACTGACTCTGCTGTGAGGAACAACAACATAGCAGAGGCAGAACAACTCAGGTCGAAGGTTTCAGCAGCACTCTCTCGTGCACAAAACACCTCCTTCTAACCTCATCAACCAAGAAAGGAAAGGCAGGAACATCATCGCCTTCCTGCCGGCAGACAAGTCAAGGCTGTACTCAACAAACCTCTTTACCACACTAGTTCATGACATTACCACCTACAAGCCTCTGAGGAAAGATCCGACGAGCAGTTACAGCAAGAAGAAGAAAAGTGTTGACCTGTTTTACCCTTTACCCATGTGTACATAAACTCCTGAAGATACAGAAGGAAGGAGAAACATTGATCATTTTTTACACTGACTCACCACAAGTTAGTGCCTCTGATTGGAAATACTTTACATCAGATCCAAAACTCGCAGGTCCACAAAACTGAAACTGGTCTCAGACGAACCACATTATCATTCGATGTCACCTCACTCTCTCCATGTATACCTACATGTGAAGCAGTGGAGACCGCCAACAAACAACTCTTTACACAACAGAATCTACTTTACACTAATCAGAAGTTAGACCTGTGCCTGACCACCAGGTATTTTAAATTACAATAAGGGTTGCAACAGACAAAAGCTGTGCCACAGGCTCTAGTGTCACCCATTGTGGCCAGTTTCTACTCGGAGGAAGTAGAAAGCAGAGCACTGAGCTATTTCTTATTGATACTATACATTCAAGTGCTATGGCAGTAAGAATTAAAGACAATTAGATGCTTTTGAATATTTGAATTTTTTGAAAATGAATGACTAAACTACATGTCGATGGCTAAATCCAAAACTGAGGTACATACCAACCCATGAACTGTACAGTAACACCCCTTCCAAAATCCTAAAATATAAAATATACCACAAAAAAGCCACAAACTCCTGCGTTTGAGAACTATCAGCTGCTTGAAAAGTTCCTATTAAGTTATAAAAACTTTTCATTGCAACTTTCAGTCAAAATGATTGATGATGTAATTTAGAGATAAAAATGTGTTTTTAGATGTTTTTTAGATAAATTAGTTGAAAACATAATCAGACAAATTAGTGAGTAAATGAAAAAAACATTGCAGTCAAAACGTGCTGCTGCTAAATCTTCATGTCTTCTCCAGGTTCCCGAAGAAAACATCCAAAGTGTGATCGGCGCCCTGCGGACCGAGAGCACAGCGCAGTGAAGGAAGCTGGAGGAAACCGTGAAAACGACCATTTTCAAAGTCATTTCGTTCAAACGTTTATCATGTCCAAAAAGTGCCAAGAGCTCATTAGCGGCCTGCTGTGGATCAGCTCTGAGAGGAAGGAGGGAGGAGTGCGTTAGGGATGCCTTTGTTACTCTGTCATTTTGCTCAGCCCTGCCCCTCTCTCCTTCCTCGGCTGCCTGCTCTGGTAGTTTTTTTGCTTTAGTTTACCAAACTGAATATGTTTCTTTTCCTCTCTAAAGCTGCTTCTTCCCACTCCCTGACCCTCACAAGCACCATACTGTATTAGTTACATAATTCCTCTCATGGAAGGATGACGAATGTACTCTCAAAAACGAAAGAAATATTATATATATTTATCAAGCTCTCCATTTTTTTTTTCTTTGGATGTTTTTTCCACAGGTCATTTTTCTCAGTGCCAACATGTTTGAATGCCTAAACCAATGCCTTTTGTCAAAGTACTATAAATGTGTGCAATTGAAGGAGGACACCAGTGATGACCGGCTGGCTGAGTAATACGGTATGACTTTTTGTTTTTGTTTTTGCTTTTAAAAGCTGTTAAACTTGTTTAATTACAGCAAAAGTTGTTAAAGTCCCTCAGACTTAGAAGGTAAAATCAAATGTTTGGTCTGGTGAAACATGAAGTGAATCCAAAATGATCAGTTATATACATTTACACTGTGGGCAACCTGATCGGAGGGTCAATCAGAATCAGCAGGTTATTCACAGAGTTGTGGAACTCCAAAGATTTAACTCGAAATTTCCTCCTTTTTTTTTTTTTGGTCTTAACAGGCACTATTTATGTAGCATTATCTGACTTCACATTTGGGAGCCGAGTTGACTAATGGTCAAGAGGAAATAAGTTATATTGACATTTGATCATTAAATTTGCTTTTAAAGTAAATGAAACATTAAGCTTGAAATTGGAAAATATGTCTCAGTTCAAAGTTTAAAACTACAAATTGAGTCTGTGCACTAAATGGATCGGCTTAAAATTTGGCACAAACATTGGTGGTTCCCAGATGATGTATCCTTAATAACTTTAGTGATCCCCTGACTTTTCACCTAGTGTAAAAATTTAAATTGCTTCAAGTTGTAAACCGAATTTTGCAAGACTTGGCCGTTTAGCATGTTAGCATAGCAACACTGCTAAACTTTAGCATGTTAGCATGTCACAGAACTTTTTCTTCCAATCTGACAGTTTTGAGTCCTTCAAAAATTAGTAATATATCAAAATAGAGACACGAGTGTGGGCTTGGTGCCTTTCTTTACATGACACTGATTAATCTAAAGCTATTGAGACATTTTTAACTAAAATCAACATGTTGGTTAGAAAAATATGAGAACAATTCTGTTTAAAATGTATTATGCAGATAAATATATTGGTTCATTTTTATGTTGAAGAGTATTTATCAGGGTGAAGTTTTTAAAAAATTGGACATCAGCACTGTTCGAATAAATGATGAAAATGACCAAAAACTTGTAAAGAAAACGACTGTCACAATTATATTATAATGTTAGTATCATGAATTGCCAATGAAACATAATAGATACAATATGAAATTATGAAGAAAGGATCCATTTCTCCCTTCAAACCCATATGCCAAATGTGAAATTCCAATAGGTTTACCAATAGATTGATTGATGAAATAATCTATAGTTGCAGCTTCTACTTTACAGATTGATTTTCATTTTTAGATCCAACTCTCAGTGAGTCTGAAAAAGAAAAATATTAAATTTGTGACTTTTTTAGCAGAGATTTAAAAGAGAGGCTCAATACCATGTTTATGTCTGTACGTTAAGCTGGAGGTGATTAGCTTAGCTTAGTATAAAGGACTGGAAAAATGAGGATCGCTAATACGGTTCTGTCTGTTATTCAACGCTGTCAAACATAAGTTGCATCTCGTTTGTTTGATCTGAAAACAAACAAAACAAAAAACTTTTTTTTTTTTTAAATTGGAGGGGGGGGTTTACTCAAAACATTTCTTGATTTTTGCATCATGAGCTCTTGGAAAGATTTTTAAAAAATACTTCCTGCACTACCTAAGAACAGTTGAGCCTTTTCCTTGTCTAATGTGAATATTCACACAGTTTCTTCTGTTCACCTCTGACGACTCAACAGTCATGTTGCTCACAGTGTGAATCCACGGCGTCACCTGACGATAAATGCAATGACTTAAATGTTTGGATCGACGGTAGTAATAAATTACTGAGCCACTTTGACAATGTGCTACAATAATCACAGTGTGCTAAACATAAGCTACGGTTCACGCAGGGGGAGGACGGTTTTCATCCGAGCCCTGGTGTCCATTTAGGTCCTGAAGCTGCCCCCCTCTCCTGCTCCAGTCTGCACTTTAATGCAGGTTTCACCCCCACAGACCTGCTGTACTGATGTGAAAACAGAGAGGGCTATTTACTGTAGAAAGACCCTGTCCCGACTGAAACATTTCTGTTGGTCTTAAGCATTGGTGATACTGTCTGTTTTTCCCTTTCTTTTTCACGCCACCTTGCACCTAACGTCAACCTCTCTTCTGATCAGATTTGATTAATAGAAATCCTGACTTTATCAGTGTTAAGACACGAGGAAGGTGACATCTCTTTCCATTTCAAAGAAAAACATTAAAAGCTTTTGATTTGGAGCTTCTTGTGTGTGTATGTGTGCGTGTGCGTGTGTGTGTGTGTGTGTGTGTGTGTGTGTGTTGGGAATAAGAAACAAGCTGTTTTTTTAAGCTTGCTGCGTGTTCAGTTTTCACCAATGTGTCATTTTTACTGTCTTTACTTACCAACGGGGATTGTCTTCACACTGTTATTTGCTCCCAATGTGTACTTTAATCAATAAAGCGGTGACATCTCTGCCCAGTCTGGTCTTCACAGCCTCCATATTAACTGCAAGTGTCATTTTACAATCAAACTATTTTGCCTTTGGAGATACGACATAAAATTTTACAGCATAGCACATAAAACTGGGATAAATTATAATGCATGCACAGTTACAGGCTTGAATACATCAGGTAGTAGGGGAAATTGTACACAAGGCGACGGGAATAGAACAGCACATGCAGCAGGGATTTCTAAGCTTTTGGGCACAATACAAACTCAAAGTGAAAGATGTCATCTCGTGCCTGTAATTACCTGCCAAACACAAACAGCAGCAGTGGTGGCAGAATGTTTGTTACATCAGTCCAACACTGATTTGTTTTCCACCACTGGAAAGATACTTCCTAAAACCCTCCGAGGTGCGAAACAGCCATGGGCATGAAAATTAGAATCTGCAAAATGTTTGGACAATTGTGGAGAGTAATATAAACATGAAAAAAAAAATCCCCAACAATGAATCATAATGGTTTCTGTGACTCACACATTGTAAAAATGTAATTTTAATCGGATTTTCTTGGCGGATGTTTACAACCATCAGAGGATGCTGCCTCGTGTTTTGATGAAATCTCAACCTTTTCTCTAAAGCCAAGTATTCCTCCTGCGCAATAAAAAAAAAGAATGTTAGGACAGATTGCCGTGAGATTTAACATGCACATTCATTCTCCCGGCAGGATGAAACCTTTTCATTTTCTTCGCATTTACTCTTGAACAGTCCTGAGAACGAAATGCTAACTGTGATAAAATTGTTGCTTTTGTGCAAAGTTTATGCAGAGTTGGAAAAACAGCAACTTATCCTGCTGTGTAGATGCAACAACATTGCCTGTTTGCAGGCTTAGATAGACTAAAAGATGGACGTAGCCTCTGGGTCTGAAAAATGATGCCTGCATTCTTTACAACGGCCAGCAGGGGGCGACTCCTCTAGTTGCAAAGCAAAGTGATTGTATAGAAGTCTGTGAGAAAATAAATCTACTTCTCATTTGGTTTGTTACCTCACCAAACATTTTCCTCATGAGTTTATGGTGTCAACAGAGAACCCAACAATCCAAAGTAGCCTTTCGACTTCCTCTGAGCAAGCAGTTGGCAACGGTGGGAGGGAACCAAACCCAGTTCATCTTTTCTATAAGAGAAAAGTTGGGTTCACACTCAAGTAAGCTGCTGGGAAACATTTTGAGCACCATTTTTTTTATGTCTCCATGTCGACAACGGCCAAGTCTGTCACAAACGTTCACATGAATTGAACTAATCTGGTGGTCAAAGGTGAGTGTGACTTCACCAAACACGTTCTTGCCCATAACTCAAGTATTCATATGCTCATGTCTACAGATATTGTCTGACATTTTACATCCAAAAGGTCAACGGTCAGCTCCACTGTGACATCTTAATATTCTGCAAAAACACGTTTCTGGTTATATATTATATATATAACACTATAACTCAGAAACAGAGGAACAGGTTGTAATCATATTTCACATTTGAACAAATACTGATGTGGTGACATTTAATCTTGGATGCCACTTATTAAATCCCTTTAAAGACTTCACTACATATAATATAGGAGCCTCATCAGACATGGACGTAAGCTGCAATTTAACTGGTTGGTGGAGGCATACGACTGCTGGTTGTTTAATTTTGCAGCAAACCTTAATTGATTGTATCCCTGTAAACATAACTGTGTAGTAAAGTTTCATAGTATATATACATTTTTTCCATGTATATATAGTCCTTTCCTGTCTTAAAATGACTTAGATGGAACGCTACACCATTGCTTTATCTTGAATGTGCAGATCTATGAAGAACCTGCCTCTCTCTCTGTACTCGCTGCACCTCAAGCACACCAGCTCACTTACAGCTCTGCTCAAACAATGTAAAAGTACTCTACTCTACAAACTGTCTGGTTGTAATATTGGAGTGCAGTCATACATGCCAGAACCAGAAACTGATTCTGAAGAAGAACAAAGGTAAAGAAACTCCACTCTGCAAGCTGACAGGATTTGTTGCTTAAGTCTGTTATGTACGAAACTCCTTAAATCCAAATGTGTGTTTTTTAGCTCGTCAGCAATATATTGTAATATTAATGGGGTTGACTGATTATTTATATGCTGGAAGTCACATTGCGAGGAAAATAAACACCATATGGACATACCAACAAGGTAAAAAAAAAACAAAACTGGAGTTTGGTTTGCCCATTAGACATATGTATTAGTTACTGCAAGAATGTAACCATAAGCACAAGTAGACGAGACTTTGTTATGATAAAACAATATCTGTGTGATGTTTGCTATCATTAACCATAAACTCCTGGGGCCTCATTTATCATCAGTGCCTACGCACAGATATGTGCGTAGAGCATGCATATGAACATTCCTTCACAAAGTATGGAATTTATCAACTTATACATATACTTAGGAATGTGCGTAAATATACGCACAACTCTGACCATGTCTACGCACATAATCTAGCGGTAGAATAGTGGAACTACAAACAGAAAGCATTCTGGGATTTTGACCACCGGCACATTCCACCATGAGGCTGGAGACATATGCGGCACTTCCCAGCCACCACTGAGCAGGATCATGCTGGCAGTGTTGGATGCCATAACTCCCCTGGCCCCAGCCTACATCCAGTTCCCTTACAGCCATCACCAACAAGCCCAAATCAAACAGGGACTTGGATTCCCAAACATAGGTGGAGCCACAGACTGCACCCACATCGCAATCAAAGCACCATTGCTAATACATTTAATTTTGTAAACAGACAAGGGTTTCATTCAATCAACGTGCAGACAATTTATGATGCACAATGGTGCTTTGATTGTGATGTGGGTGTAGTCTATGGCTCCACCTATGTTTGGGAATCCAGTGATGGCACAAAGTTCCTCTTTTAATTTGGGCTCGTTGGTGATGGCTGTAAGAGAACTGGATATAGACTGGGGCCCGGGGAGTTATGGCATAAATGAGGCCCCAGGTCGTAAGGATGAAGACTGAAGCTGCAAAAGTCCTGAGTGGATCAAACCGAGCTTCATGCTGATCAGATTCCTTATTGTGCTCATAGCTGTCTTGTGTGTCTAGCTGCTTCTCCTTCTCCTCAACCCGACCGGTCGAGGCAGATGGCTGCCTCCCCAGACCCAGATCTGCCGACAGTTTCCTCTTGTTTGAAGTAAGTTTTTATCATTGCACCACCACCAAAGAGCTAATGAAAAGGGAATGATTAGATTTGTTGGATTTCTCTCTAGAATTAAATATAATAGGTTCCCTGAGATGACTTGTGTTGTGAATTGGCGCTATGTAAACACAACTGAACTAAGATTATCTTTTCATTTGTTAAAGCAATTTTTTTTCTTTCTGAATAAAAATAATATTGTAATTTAAACTGTTTTCTAATTCTAACTCTGGTTCAGGCAAGTCTATGTCTCTATTCACAGTACTTTTTATTTACATAGTACTTTTATACTTTTCTTTTGCATATAATATTTTATTTTATGGTATTTAGAATTTCTTAGATTTAGATTTCTATATTTGTTGCCTGTCTTGTTATTGTTGTGTACCATAGTTTTATTCACCATGTCAAATTCCTTGTGTGTGTGTGTGCAAGCGTGTGGCAATAAAATCTTTCTGTTTTCTGTATTCAAAAGTCAAATTTCACTCATTCTGTCCAACACTATTATGAGGTGTAACCATCTTATAAGGGGGTTAATGACGGTGGTTTTTATCATTTTACTTAGAACTGCATGTGAAAAAAGAAATCATACGGGTACACACCTTTCTTTCTGTCTGTATCTTCTCCACTGATGGTCTTTGTCCAGTCCAGCCTGCAGCACACAGCAGGAAGACTGCAGGTATATCAGTTGTCTGTATTATTTGACCTGAGTCAACAAAGCAGAGAACAGCCAGGTCCTTGTAGCTGTGCACACAGACGGGGGAGGAGGACTCCTCCAGCTGCAGAAACCCTCTCAGCAGAGCAGGGTTAAAGGAGCTGACATGGTATGTTAGTGTTTTCACTCATCATGATCATCTTACCCCTTACATAATCCCTGACAGCTCGACTTTTGTGGTTCACGGACTTATCAGCAAGGCCTTTTGCTTACTTCTCAGTTTCCACTTGCCACAATTAAAACTGCGAGTCAAGTGGAGCCGCAAACAGAAGAGCATCTCATCACCGCTAATTGAAATGCATCACTTACACTATGTGGAGTCAAAAGGTCACTAGTGTGAAATGTCCACCCACAGAAATGACAAATCAAAACTTTATGAGTGTCATATAAACAGCAATGAGTCAGCGCTGCATCCAGACAAGGAGGGATATTAATAAGTACGTTTTACTGTTTAACACTCAAATCCTAACGTATACGGGGATCATTTTACAGGATTTCTGGGACGTTAAAGCTTAAACTTTTCTTATCATGGTGCACTAAATCACATGCTGCACTGGTTCCAGTTACTACATTAATTAAGCATGACTTTAGTTTGTTAAAAGAGCAGTTTGACACAATAATTCCAACCCAATCTGCCTTTTTTTGTATTTTTAAACAGTATAACAGGACCTTCCTCGACAGAGTAAAACAGCGGTTCCTCACTCAGTGGACTACCTGAATGTGTTACACACTGCTTGGAGACATAGTAAGGCTTGTTCCAGGCTGCAAGCTGATGGCCGAGCCCTGGCAGCCATGCATGATGCAGTGAGAGTTGGCCTGGGCCACATATTTGCTATTGAGCCTGCTATCGCATCGCACATGGTGTCCCCTGATGAGGCTCTGCGTCAGAACGCCTGGTGCCCCTGACCTCAGTGTTGGGTCACAGATGACCTGCTTACAAGGGCTTATGATGCTGGAGCGCGTGCCGGTCGTATTGGTAACTCCCCATCCCACATCATGCTGGCCCTCTCAGCTTCTCTGCAGGAAGACAGTGTGGATGTTGCCCCCAGAAGCCTCAGTGATGCATCGTTGTATGCATTTGGCCTCATAACTAGAGAACTTGGGAGGATGA